CACCGAGACGTTTCATGGCAGACTCAAACGATAGCCTTGTCCTAGTGGAAGGTTCGTAGAAAAGGGTAGCCATTAAGTGCCCCTTGAGCATCTGGCTTCCAAGTGATCCTTTCTCCACCTTCTCCATTTCGCGTGCCACTTCAAATACAGCATCAAGTGTGCCTCTATTGAATTGCTGAGCATCAATTATATCCTCAAGCAGGAACTTATTTCCCACAGTGACCAAAGTTTTACCTTCAGCTGCTACTGCTCTACACTGGATGTTGCTATTCTTTCGCAGATTTCTTGCAAATAGTTGGCTCTTGACACATTTCTCACTAGATGTTAATAGTGAACTTTGCATCTTGGCAGATGCAGGCATAGCTTTCGTGTCACGACTCTGGTTAGAGCAGAGATTCGGGTAGTTGAACATAACTTCATTCCGAAAACCATTTCTTGAAAATGTAGCCGGAGAAGCCATAGTCATATATGAAATTTACCTAATGGAATGTAAAAGAAACACATCAAATGATCAAAATAAGAGAGTCTCGCTCTCAATCCCATCAATGCAAATGCTTTCTGCATATGGATTTAAGCAAAAATGTTTTGTGGAACCAAAAACAAAAGTTTGGAAAAGATTAAATGCACTGCTCCATAACCTCCATTCATAGGTTCAGAATCTAGCATTGAACAAGCCGTTCATAACATAAGCTCAAAGCAAGGATTTTTAGGATTCAGAATCTACCTTTATATTGATTGATCTTCAATCGGCACAGGGGATCGCACCGGAGCCGCAGTTGGCTGGCCGCCGCCTGAAGCTTTTTCAGATGTGTTAAGCCGGAGAGGAGCCGTCGCGTGCTAGTTTCCGTTTTAGTTTCTGATATGGTAGCTTCTATAATTGGCTCTGCTCTTCAACATTTGGATATCCATTTTTGAGGTTTGTGGGGACCTAGGGTTTTGTGAATTTAGGCGTCGGGTTTAGTGTTTTTGGCTATGTTTTGCTACTCGGACTAGGGGCTTGCACAGGATTGGATCCGGACTTGGACTGACCAAAAACTCTATAAAATATAAGGAGTAAGAGTAAATTTCATGATTGGGGTGGGTTTTCTTATTGGATAATTTATAAATAAATATTACTCGGGTGATCCTTATCTTACAAGTATCTTTCCATGAATAAGTTTTTTTTATCTTCATCTTATTAGTGTTAATTTCAAGACTAAAAGTATTATTTCACAATGATAAATTATCTTTCTTGTCATACACAATTTCAAATGCTGGTCTTTATGCATCGTTTGTAAATTACAGTCGTTTTTTACTACAATTATAGTCTACAAATGTGGTCTTTCGTCAAAATTCAGATTCACAATCATAGTCATATTTTGTGTTATTCGTCTAAACAATATCCAAATACGTCACTAGACATACGGTTGATGTCAAATTATATTTTTAGCCTTTAAATTAACACCAACATGACAGAAGATTAAAAAGTGAGCATTTGTGAAAAGACACTCATAAAGGAAAGACTACAAGAGTAATATTTAATGATAGAAGACTAAATATAGAGACTCGTATGTTATAAAGGACTAATTATAGAATTTACTCAAAAAAATAAAAATCGGGCTCAATTCGAATGTAGATTTTGGTCTCTAAATTTTACTAGTAAGAAAATTATCGAAATTTTAAGAAATTATTGTATAAAAATAGAAGTAAAATATAGCGAAACTATTGAATGAGGAATTTTATTTTTTAATCTCAAAGTAGGATTTTGCATTGTGACATTGTGAAACTGTATAATAGCATTCCACCATAATTTTTGGTATTATATGTTGACATTATTGACATTAAAACTCATACTTTATAAATAAAAACATGAAAATCAAATTTGGTCTTTGTCTATGTTATAATCTAATTTAGTTTTTTCCCTTAAATTTTCTTATACAAGTTTTGGGCCAGTCCGGTCTGCCGAATTTCGGTCTGGATCGGTTAGATTTTATGTTATAATTGGTGGATTGGTTAGATTTTATTTTTTAAAAATAATTTTTTTTTATATTTTTATATTATAGTTTTTGAAGTTTTAAATATTTAGTGATACATTAACTGTAAGACTAAAAGTTTTTAAAAGTTTCTTAATTGCTACTCCAGGTACATTTTTATTTTTATCATGATTTTTTTAAAAGAAGACAATTTAAAAATAAGATCCTCCATATCAACTCCAACAATTTAACAATTTTGAAATTTGATATCTTTCTATTCTTAAAAGTAGGGAAAAAACGCCCCAGCATTTTCCTCGGTACCATTAATAAAGAAAAAATGGGGTCTATTGATTCTTAGAAAAAATGGGATCTTTCTATGCAAAACAATTTTAACCTTTGATTCTTAGAAAAAATGGGATCTATTGATGATATGTAATCTAGTGTTTTAAGGTCGAATAAGGAATGTTATTTCCTCGGTACCATTAATAAAGAAAAAGGTAAAGAATTAACAAACAAGAAAATATAGGACCAATGTAAATATGTAATCCAGCCTTTTAATGTGTACAAAATTAAAAGGGAAAGAATAAGCTGTATTTTTATGGGAACTTTTTTTTAAAAAAAAGTAAAGAATCAACAAACCATGAAAGGAAATAAGAAACCATATTTTTTAGAGCAATGCTACGTTCACAAACAGAATGATCACAAACTCTACAAACTTACTATTTATGGTTTAAATTCGCATTTTAAAATTATTTTAGACTATTTAATTTTCTTTATTGAAGTTCACAAATAGTAAGTTTGTGAAGTTTGAATTTGTGAACCAAGCATTTCCCTATTTTTTACGGAAACATTTAAAAAAAATAAAAAAATTAACAAACAATGAAATATAAGATGATGCTATTATTATTATTTTTACTTATATTATTATTGTTGTTGTTTTTGTTTTTGTTGTTTAAAATCGTGATTAAGAACTTGTTCTTTAGAACAGGAAAAAAAGAACTGATGTTGGAAAAACTGGAAAAAATTGAAAAAACTGGAAGGAAGTGGGAGAAACTGGAAGAAAACTGGAAAAAAGTGGAAGTAACTGGAAGAAACTGAAAAAACTGGAAGGAACGAGAAAAAACTTCTAAAAATTGAAAAACCTAAAAAAACTTTAAAAAAATTTATTTTAAATTCTTCTTCTTGTTGTTGTTGTTGTTGTTATTATTATCATCATCATCATCATCATCATCATCATCATCATTATATTTATTAATATTATATTATTATTATTATCATCATCATCATCACGGTATCTTAATGAATGACTTTATGATATAAAAAAAGTATTGTTATTTTTTAAATACAAAAAACTACTTTCACAAAAATAATTATAATATAAAGTTAGCATAAATGTAAAAAATTTAAATTTCAAATAGTTTTTTTGGTCACGTTGCACCTCAATTTATTTATGCAATATTTATTATAAATAATATTTTATAATTATACTTTATATATTACAAAAGTTTGTTTTAAATATCAGACATGTCACATAATGTAATTAAACCTATTTTTTCTTTTATGATTGACATTTTATTTTCATTGAAGTCCTACTTTTGGAATAAATACATAGAACTTTTTTTCATTTTTTATGTTTTACTCCTATTTTAGTCTTTTTCTCTAAACTATTTTGACTTACAATTTTTTTTAATAAAAATTAGAAAAATAATAAAATTTTAAGTAATAAAAGGAAGGTGAGAGGTCTTATATAAAATTAGATTAATAAAACATTCTATGCCACTGTTTTATGCATAATTTTTTATGTAGTTTAACATATTGATGTTTTCGTGTTTTACCATGTAAATTAATATACAAAAAATTGTCTTATTCATATTAAAAAGTTGAAGAAAAAATAATGAATGTGAATCGTAAAAATAGTGCGATAAAAAAATAATTTATAAACTATAGTTATGAACATAATCGTTGTAATAATAATAATAATAATAACAATAATCACATTAAAAATATTTTGTTTTTAGAGTAATTGGCTAGGGAGTATAAAGAGTTTGAAGAAAATTAGAAAAGTTGGTAGAAATAGGAAGGAATTGGAAAAAAATGGAAGGAACTGGAAAAAACTAGAAGAAACTAGAAGGAAATGGAAGACACTTGAAATTACGAGTTCAAGCCCTAAAGAATAGGCTCTAAGTATGGAAATGATAAATATTTAGAATTGTGTTTTTTATGAGAAAAGATTTAAAAAAGTAAAGAATTAACACACAGAAATATCAAGTTGATGATATTATTAGTATTATTATTCTTCTTTAAAAAAGTAAAGGAAGTTATTTTTAAACAAGAGTGTGTCTTTAATGTAAACAACATTTTCACAAACCTTTAGAGAAAGAGTCATTCTTCCGCATTCGTAGTGAACTCGGAATCCTTGACTCCACGATGATCTAAATTGTGCATTAGTTATTATTCTTTTTGGTCCCTACTAACTTGAACGTCGAAGACGTTTTTAATTCTTTTTTGCAGGGCTCTTTTTTTTATTTTTAAGGTGTCAAAGGCAGGGGGAACATGTAAATCGATTTTTGCTTCAGACCTGGTGTAAATCGATTTACAGGCTTGTGATAATCAACTATCACAGCCTGCAGAAGTTTAGAGCACGGAAGCTGAAGGAGTAAATAATCGATTATCAATATTAAGATAATCGATTATCTGAGCCAGCAGAATTTAAGGCAACTCAGGCGCAAACTCCAACAATCGATTTTCCAAGTCATGATAATCGATTATATGGAGCTGCAGAACTTTATTTGAAATCAGGCGCAAAGACAATCGATTTACCAAAACATGACAATCGATTATTGAAGCCTGCAGTTTCTTTGGCAGAGAATCTGAAGCCTCAGATAATCGATTTACAGGGAGTGTAAATCGACTATCAACGACGATTTTTTAAAAAAATCTGACCGTTGCAGAGACGTTTGGAGAGCAATTAATGCATGTTTTGAACTTCCCAACGGATCTCCAGCCCACTCCACTATATATTGGTGATATCCTTTCATTTTTTACTCACTCAAATCACAATTCCTTCATATATTCATCAATATTTCATCCTTCTTGCAATTATTCTTCAGTGTTCTTGCAAAATCCCTGCAAATTTCTCTTTTTTTGCTCTCCCTCTCTCTCTTTGTTGAAATGGCAGGAGGTCAAAGAAAAAGATCCCGCACCGGCAAGAACGTGGCTTCTTCCTCGGCTCCTCCACCATCAACGCACAAATACCTTGACGGGTCGTTTCTCTGGTTCAACGACCGCGAAGAGGCTACAAGGTTCTCGGAGAAGTTTGAGCATCGGGAAATTCTCCCTCCCCGATTCTCCACCGCCCGCTTCATTCATGACTCCATCCCTCGTGAGGCACGGGTTATCCTTGAACAAGGAAACTTCCTCGATCTCCTCTACATCAAGAAGGTCAATTATCAACCTTTTCTTGTTCGAGCTTTCTATTCGAACTTGANGACGGACAGGATCTCGGGCTCTACACCGGAGAAGAGGGGGCGCGGTTCAATGAGACCGCTCTCTTGGAGGAAGTGGGCATCCGTCACTTCGTACCCACTCCCCAACAGCGGCGCCCTACGATTTCTTCCATGAGTCCCGTGTATCGTTTCATCTTCTATGTGTTGACACGGATCCTCAAGCCCAGGAAGTTCAACCACACCAATCTCTCCCAAGAAGACACGAAGACGATCCATGCGATGATTCACAACGCCAATCTCAATTGGTGTAAATTTGTGATGACTCACATGTTCACAGCCACCTCCGACAATCGGCCGCTCCCCTATGCCCTCCTTGTCATGGCCATTCTCGAAGAATACAACATCAAAACCGATGTTGGGCCAAAAGTAAAGGGGACAAAGCACTGGGAGATTGATGAGTCTTCTTTCCACTCGGGCACCGACGAGACTCCGTTTCGACAGCCTCGTCCACGCCGCCAACCGAGAGCCACTGCCTCAGCCGCCACCACATCGTCCAATCCTTCTCTCGCCGAGCAAATGGCAGCCTTAACCGCCACTCTCTCTCGGATTGACACCAACGTCTCAAAAACGGCGCACAACGTCAATACCTTGAGCCGTGAACTTCACGGGTATTTTGACTTTGTCAATTACCCGTACGCTCAAATGGTCTCTTACGTTCCTCCACCAAATTTCGGAGGTGAACAAAGTGGGACTCAAAACGTTGGAAGAGAAGACGAGGTGGACGATGAAGAAGAAGAAGAAGAAGAAGAAGAAGATGATGATGATGATGATGATGATGATGGCAATGGTGATGAAGAAGAAGAAGAAGAAGACATTGACGAAGAACAACTTCTCAATGATCTTTCCCCGGATTTCTAGAGCTCTAGCTCTATTTTCTTCTCTTCCTTATTTTATAATTTTTAATGCTTTCGCTATGTACTCCGCCTTTTCCCTTAATTAATTAATAAAAATCTTTATGATTTTTGTTAACAATCTTTTTGTTAATGTCAAAAGGGGGAAGATAAGGGCTATGCATATTTTCAGGGGGAATTTTATTAAGGGGGAATTTTGTTTCAAAAAAGATCAAAACCCTATGCATATCCCCGTCTTGTTTGCCATTATCAAAAAGGGGGAAATTATTGGAACACACTTTGCACGTTAAACTAAAGTCGTGTTCATTTCTGACAGGTTTTGATAATTGCCAAACCGCCGTGGATATGAAGAGTTTCGTTGAATAACTCAAGGCGTGAAGAATGGCTTGGAACAAGACCTAAAAGTCTCAAGGACAGATCAAGAATTGAAGACTTAGTCGAGTCGGTCTTTTGTGATCAAAACCGATAATCAATTCAAGTCTCGGTTCTCAAAGAGTCAAAATTATTTTACAAAATCATAAAATGTTTTTATGCATAAAAATAAACATTTTAGATAAATCTCCTTATTGTTAAAATCCCTGGTCCTTGCTCAGAACCAAAACCACCTAAGTCGGCGTTCGGCTTTCGTCGTTCGGTTTTCGGCGTTCGGTTTTTTGGCGCCCGAAACAACTCCGTGGTTTTCAATATTTTAAACCTTGTTTTTATCTCTGAGCATATTTTAAAGGTTCCCGAATAATTATTTTGTAAAAACCATCTTTGTATCTTGGTCAATCGGTCTAACACGTGAAAAACGGTCAAAACCGTACGCACGTGATTTACGACCTTGAGGACTTGGTTTTTACCAAACAAGTCTTGTTTTCACTATTTTATACCATATACAATGTTTTTCAAACTTGGTTTTTTACTTTTGGGAACACTTCGTTTTTGGACCTCGGTTTTTCAAAACGGGTTTCAGCTGGCTAGACTTTAGCTGGGTGATAATCGATTATCACCTTAGTGACAATCGACTATCAGCCACTGCAGCTTTGAACTTCCAAGTTCTGAAGCACTAAATAATCGATTATCAGCCTTGCAGCCAAAACCCAGAATCTTCAGAGAGGACCAATAATCGATTATCACTTGTTGACAATCGATTATCTGGGTTACCGTTGTCCTCCAACGAATAGAATTTTAAATTTTTGGACAGGGAATCTTTGGATAATCGATTATCATGGTTTGACAATCGACTATCAGCCTGTGTCCCTGAAAAATTTGTCTTCATCCTGTTGGAAATTCTAGCAACGCGTTTATCCCATTTTGGGCTATAAAAGGGCCCCAAAATCCTCTCTTTTAACACACAATTCTTCAACATTTCAATACTCTTTCATTGCATAAGCATTCCTATTTTTCTTAGCTATTTGAGAGCCAATTCTTGAAGAAATTGTCGTGTTCTTGAGCGTTTACTAGTTCACTCATATCTACTCTTTGTGAGAGTTTTATTCCTGAGTGTTTAAGTGTTTTCATACACTTTAAGGGAGNTGAGAAGTCTTGGAGTGCGGTATCTCCGAGCAAAGGTGTTGAGGCTCGTGTGACTCGGGTTCTCAAGTTGTATCGGTTTGTTAAGCACCCTTAAGCTTAACGAAGTTAGTGTAGCTCGAGAGAGTCTCTCGGGGGGCTGGATTAGCCACACGTTGTGGTGAACCAGGATAAAATCCGGTGTGTTCCTTCCTTACGCTCTTTACTTCAACGCTCTCGTTTTAATTTCTTGCGATTTTGTTTTAAACGCTATTCACCCCCCCTCTAGCGTTGGGCCTTTATTCTAACAGAATTATCATGAAAGTCAATAGAATAATATATTAACGCAATAATTTAAAAGTTAACACAAAAGTATTAAAGGCATTTGTCACTTAGCTTGTGTCCCGTTCGCCTGATCTGATTTGACTTTTTTAAAATCTGATATGGTCAAGGGGTGGACACGGTACCGTACCGTTACCGGCAACGGTACCACCGGTACTAGCGACCGTCACTCATAGCTGGCACGTTCCACCGGTTCTGGGAACCGGTACCGGCACTGCCCCCATCGATACCGGTTCTGGTGCCAATTTTTCGGTACCACCACCGGCGGTACCAGTACCAGTTCCAGTACCATTATGTTTTTTTAATTTCTCCAAGCATAGCAACGGTCTAGTGGGGTCCACACCTGCCAATTCCTGCAAAAAATGAAAATAAAAGTTAATGGGGGTGGGGGAACCTCAACAGCGGCCGTTTGAGGTGGAGGGTGGGGGAGGGGGAGGGGAGAAGGGTAGTTTTGCACGATAAATATACCATTTTTTTAAAAAAAATTCACACTCAATCCATCTCTCAATCTATCAATCTCTCAATCTTATTATCTCTTTTCAATTTTTATACAAATTATATATTCATATAATAATATAAATATATAGTAATATATTACATAATAATATATAAATACATTCATTATTCATATTATCAATTATCATACATTATTTTTTACTAATATTATAATTTCGAAATTTAATATATAATTAATTTTTAAATATTTAATATAGTTCGAAATAGTCAAAAATATTAATATATAATATAATTTTCAAAAAATATAATTATATTATCAATTATCAATATATTTTTTAAAAAATATTAATATATAATAATATATAAATACATTCATTATTCATATTATCAATTATCATATATTATTATTTACTAATATTATAATTTTTAAATTTTCAAAATTTAATATATAATTAATATTATAAATATTTTAATATAATCCTTTTTCATCAAAAAAATATATATTAAAATATCGAGAGAGTCCGGTAGAAGGTCAGTGGATATGGGCCTCGTGAATCGAAGCTCGAGGAGAGGCAAAGCTAAGGCCACCTCCGACGGTTCGACCTCACGCGGATGCGGTTCTCAAGGAAGACACTTCGTCTCTTCCTTCCCTAGTATCCCTGATCATCTCGTGAGCGACGCTTTGACGAATCAAGAATTCAACCATTATATGTCAGGTAGAGGTGACGCCAATCTCGAAACTCTTGGAAGTTTATTCGAGAACATTGATGAAGCAGGAATGGACGTGGAGCCTACCCCGCACAACAACAATCCTACCGACATCGATGAGGAGGCAGGTGAGCCCGAGACCTCTCAAGGTCCGGACAAAGGTAAAAAAATTAAAATCAGATTTATTTGTTTATCATTTTTCCAATGACAGAAAAGATGGGATAGTTTTTGGAACTTGTATATATTGTGCCACCGTCATTAAAATGGGAGTTTCCGGCGGTTATGGTGGTCCGGAAAAACAACTAAGGTCGAGGCATCCCATGGAGTACGTCAAATACACGGCGAAAAAGAAGGGACGACAAGAAGTGCAAAACCAAATTTCTCGACTTGCTAACAGGGGTAATGGCGGCCTTTTTGCTTATAGCGACGAGCAAAATAAGCAAAAAATGACCGAAATGATTTGTGAAGAAAATTTTCCATACATGTTTTCTGAAAAAGTTGGATTTATTGATTATTGTCAAAATGCATTAAACCCTCAAGCAAGAGGTTTTTCAAGAAAAACAATTAAGCGAGAAATTATTCGACAATATAAAGTCGAAAAAAATTCAATTTGGCAAATTTTTTTCTCGATTTCAATTCTCGTGCTACTATTTGTTCTGATATTTGAGATGAAAAATATCATAATTTGTCTTATACGGTGCTACTTGTCATTGGATAGATAGTGATTGGATAGTGCATAAACGTGTTCTTGCATTTCGTGATTTCAATGATTCTCATACTGCTGAAAATATTTTTCTATTGCTACAGCGTATTCTGCGGGAATACAACTTCGTTGATAAAGTGTTTGTATTTGGTTTTGATAATGCTACTAATAATATTGCTATTATTCCTATACTTAAAGAAATCCCCCCTACTACGAGTATGGGTACATTTCTGCATCAAAGGTATGATTGTCATATTTTAAATTTATGTGTTCAACAGGGATTAGAAGTTCTGGGGGGGTTGACGAATATTAAAAATGGAATTAGAAGGATATGTGGTAGTCGTCTTCATTTGAATTCCTGGAAGACATTCTGTAAGTCTAAGGGTAGAAGAGCAATAACATTTATCAAAGATATTACTATTAGATGGAATAGTACATACAAGTTGATAGCACAAATTTTAAGCTACAAAGATGAATTTGCTGAATTTTTTAGGGATGAACTTCTTTTAATGATTTCACCTAATGAATTTGTTATTGTTGAAAAATTGAATGGCGTATTAGAAGTTTTTAATAACGCAACTCTTACTTTTTGCATGTTTACCAACCAACTAAAAATAGATTTTTTAAAAAGTGCATTACAATCGCAACATGTTTTCGTGAAAGTTTGGCTAATCCAGATTTGTACCCTTTTGTCTCTCCTATGAAAGATAAATGGTGTGATTATTATTTGTACATTCCTGATATTTATAAAATAGGTATTATTTGTGGTCCACGCTTTAAGATTGAAAATTATAAAATTCTAATTGACTATTACTACAGTTGTTTTTTAGATGAAAATAATTATTACTATACTTATTTAATTGACTGCGAAAAAGAAAGAAGAAACTAGAAGGAACTGGAAGGAACTGGAAAAAACTGGAAGGAACTGGAAAAAACTAGAAGAACTGGAAAAAACTGGAAAGAACTGGAAGTTAAGAGTTCAAGCTCTAAAGAATAGGCCCTAAATGTAGTTGTTTTTCAGTTCGTGTATTACTCATTTTACAATATTTAAATAACAACTACATTTTAAGATTTTTTTTATTTCATTCTTTCCTTTAACAATTGCATTTTTAGATTTTTTTTATTTCATTTTTTCCTTTAACAATTACATATTTACAATTTTACACTTTAAAAATTTAATAAAAAAACAAAAAAATAATAATTGGGGGTGGTCGAAACCGGCCGGTCCGGGTACCGGAACCAGTACCGTTCGGTCCGGTCACGATACCGGTACCAAGGGGTGGCGGTTCCGGAACCGGAACCGTCCCGGAACTGTACCGTGTCCACCCCTAATCTGGTCTAATCTCATCTAATCTAGTTTGATCTGGTCTCACCTGATCTGATTGTAGTTATAAGTAAAGTTGTTTCTAATCTGGTCTAATTATAATAAAAATCGGTAATAAGCAGAAAAAATAAGTTACTACAAAATACTAGCTTATTCTATAAAGAATTACCAGTATAATCTATGCACCTCTTTTGTGGAGATATTTCGATTTTTACGACAAACGTACGTTTGGACAGGAAATGGGCCCAATGAGACCGAACTGCTCAATTGCCCAAAACATGTCATCTGGCAAATCACGTTCTTACCACCTGGCAAAACCGTAAATCACATAAGCATTCTTAAAACAAAAAAGAAAAATGCTAGGGTACACCAAATGTGTATCTCATTTGTCCCCCACCCCCTCCTTGTCCACCCAAAAAAGTATAAGAAATTTTAAAAAGTGAATAAATAAAAATAAAATAAAAATGGGTGGTGGAAAAAGGGGTGGTGTACATTTGGGGTACACCTTTAGTGTACCCATAGCATTGCTCAACAAAAAAAGATTGACAAAAGAAAGCATCATTAAAAAAAAAGATATATACATCCCCGTTCCAAACAAAAAAAAAGAAGAATCATAGAACACAATTGGATAAAATCATAAAAATAACCAAATGAAAATAAGGAGTGGCACTATTATTTTGGCAAATGAATAAAGAAGAATAAAATTTAAATTTGTAAATAGTAAAAATAATTATAAACAAGACAAAGTGGGAATTGAACCTTCATAAATACTCATTTAAAATTTATACTCTATATACGAAATGTTTAAAACTTATTTGAAAGTTTTAATAAAATAAATAGTTACATTATATTTTTTTAAAACCATCCTCTCCGTCGCAAATCAATTATCTTTCTTACTTCTTGTATTTGAGGCTTTCAGTTAAGTTTGTTTGTGTATACATTTTTATTGACCATTTAACAAAACAAAATATGCATATCACTGTTTTTTATATATAACTTTTGATGTAATATTTAAATATATAATATATTTTTATTTTTATACCAATTTTAAATAAAATTAATTTCAAAAAAATGAGACTCTAGACGTTATTTGAAAGATGACAATAAATTAGGGATGGATTAAATATTTGTTCATATATTCTCAATCTATTAAAATGTGCGATTCAAAAATATATCGTTTCATTTAAGAGAGTTACAGTAATATTTCTAGACGAGAAGATCATTAGCAATAGTTACATTTTAAAGTACAAAAGTGAAAAAAGAAAAAGAAAACGAGTTTAAAGTTTATTTAACTCTCGAAGTAAAAATTAGTCTACACAGAATTTGTGGGGAAATTCATCCAGTTTCGAGCCCCAACAAAAGCGGTAGCATTGAGTAGAGTTAATTTTTTTTTAAAAAAAAAATCAAACTCTATGGGGTTCTCTTTTTTATTTAATTTTATCGCTATCAATCAACAGCTTCAGGCAAAAGGCTCACAAAATGTGTCCTGCAGAAGTGGGGTTCGAAGGGGAGTGTGAAACGACGCCTTCTTCTTCTTCTTCCTCCTCGTAATCATCACCGCCATACGTCGTTGTTGTAAGCTTAACTGCTCTCCGCCCTTTCTTATTTTTCTATTCAATTCTCTCTGGATATATTTTTTTCTTTTCATTTGTTGATTCCTTCACCGTTTTCCCCATCACATTTATTCATTCATTTATGCTTCTGGGCGGTGCGAGATTTCCATCCCCCCCCTTGTTGAGCTCCGATTTCTCTGTTTCTGAATCTAAGGTGCCTTTTCTTGAAGCGCCCAATCTCCATTTTCCCCGATTGATCTGTGCATTTCGGTCGCCGGTGGTTTTTGCTGTTAATTTTCTTCTCAGTCCGGTTTGATCTGATCAAAATTAAGGAAGGAAGACGATTGAATAGAGAGATTGAGAAGTATGTGGAGCATATTGAAGTTATGGGAGAGAGTTTTAAGAATGGCAGAAGGGGGATCTCGTTACTGCTCGAAGAAGAAGGATGATATCTGCTACGAGGTAAAGATTCGATTTTTCCCCTTTTTTCAATTTTACCCTTTCTTTTTTATTGCAGTAATTCTTTTTTTGTCACTTTAAATTTTCAAACTCTTTTTCTTTTTTGAATTCCCTTTCTGGGTTTTGCTCAATTTATGATTTAGTATAGAATCTGTTGGGCGCTTTGTTGATTTGTTCACTGTTCATTGCTTTGGTTGGAGATCTTCTGACACCAAATCGGAAATTAAGTGAAATTTTGATCCAAGTTGGTATGATGATGACTGGAATCTATTAAGAATCTGGTTCTCAAAATCCGAGAAACCTTATTCGAATTGTATGATCCTTTGCTTTTTTTTGAGATAAGGTTATACCTAGATGATATGAATGTATGTGATGATAGTGAATTACATTTCTTCATATCGCTTGGGTAGCAAACCATAGCACTTAGCTCTTTGATTTTATTGAACTAATATTCTTTGTACATGAAGAATAATGTACCCCGGGGTATATATTTATCTTCTCTGTCTGTGTAGATTCATGATTTAGAAGAGGCATTTCAGCCATATCCAAAAGTTGTCTGTTAATAGCATCCACATTGTTCTGTATGCTATTATAGTTTTGTTTCTTGATTTCCCATTTTAGAGATATTGATGTCCTCACGACAAATTGGAATGACTTATCCTAAACAGTATCTAACTCTTTCACTATAAACTGTAGGACTCCAGCCGTGAAATCAGTGTGTCGAGATTAAAATGTATTCTACGAGGCCTAGACTTCAAAATCTACATCTTTCTTTTCTTCCTCGTCCCCACATGCGTGTACGGAATCTATGTCCATGGCCAGAAAATAACGTATTTCTTGCGCCCTCTATGGGAAAACCCGCCAAAGCCCTTCAATGAGATCCCTCATTATTATCATGAGAACGTGTCGATGGAGAATCTTTGTAAGCTTCATGGGTGGAGAATCCGGGAGTACCCTAGACGTGTGTATGATGCAGTTTTGTTCAGTAATGAAGTGGACATACTTAACATAAGATGGCAAGAGTTGCACCCGTACGTGACTGAATTTGTTTTGCTTGAATCTAATTCAACTTTCACCGGATTGCCAAAGCCTTTGCACTATGCAATCAACAGGAAGAGTTTTGACTTTGTTGAGTCACGGCTAACTTACGGGCAAGCTCCGGGCAGGTTTCGGACTGGAGAGAACCCGTTCATCGAGGAGGCTTATCAACGGTTGGCATTAGACTATCTTCTCAAGCAAGCTGGAATTCAAGATGATGATCTCTTGATAATGTCAGATGTTGATGAGATTCCTAGCAGACACACTATAAATCTGTTGAGGTGGTGTGAAGACATACCAATGATTCTTCATCTCCGGATGAAGAATTACCTTTATTCTTTTGAATTCCTTGTGGATGACAACAGCTGGAGGGCCTCAGTCCATAGATACCAATCTGGTAAGACGAGGTACGCCCATTATCGGCTGTCAGACGATGTCTTGGCTGATTCTGGGTGGCACTGCAGCTTCTGCTTCCGCCACATCAGTGAGTTCATATTCAAGATGAAAGCCTACAGCCACTTTGACAGGGTGAGGTTTTCGCACTTTCTGAACCCGAAGAGAGTCCAAAAAGTGATATGCAAAGGGGATGATTTGTTTGATATGTTGCCCGAGGAGTACACGTTCAAGGAAATCATCGGCAAAATGGGGCCCATCCCACACTCCTACTCAGCCGTTCATCTCCCATCCTATCTCTTGGAGAACGCCGACAAGTATAAATTTCTCTTGCCGGGGAACTGCTTGAGAGAAAGTGGCTGATTCATGTGAGTGGTTTATGATTTCACTTTTCGAAAGCTTCTTTTTTCTTTCCATGCCATGGATGGCTGTCATACCATTCTTTAAATCTGCATAATGCATCAAGGGATGTTTGGATTAATGGACAGTGGTTTGTATATAATATATATATATAAGTAGATAACTTATATATAGGGAACTTTACCAAGGGTAGCTTTTGCAAGAGACTCCAAATTATGTGACTAGAAGATGGTTTTTTAGTTTCTCTAGTTTGGGCTTTCTTCATATGAGGGAAAATTTTGGTGGTCACTAATGTGTATTCATATCTTTGTGCTATTATTACTTTTGTCATATGTTGTTGACACTCATTTTATTTATATATTCTTCATACGAGGAGTCGAATCCACGACGTCTTTCCGTTGTGCCACGCTTCGAAATGTATTTTCTTTTTAATCAAATATATACTCTCTATTTTCCTTATATGGCTTCCATGTATTCTGTGCTTTATCCATTTGATCAATTTGTGCTAGAAATGGGATGAAATATTCTTTTGCCTAATCCTTACTCTGTATTAGTTTTTTTTTCATAAAAAAACTCACTATATTGTTGTGCCAACATGAGGCATCTTTTACAATTTCCACCACATAATTAATTGGTTGTCTCCTACTTTTTGTTTGCCCTTTTTAATGTTTCCACATGTTTTGGTGCAGGAGTTAGTCCACTTTTTTTCGTTCTTTTATCACACTTTTGCCTTGTCCAATACAAAAAGTGGTGTACCCAAACCTTCATAAGAAAAAAAGGGATGAATCCATCCCTTCTTGGTGACACGACAGTTATTTTGGAGGAGGTAAATTGAGTTGTAATTTTGATTTGGCAAGTAAAAAAATGAGATCTGTCTTTCGTGCATGCAAACATTCCATCCATATATTTGATATTACCATTAGAGGTCGAACTAGAACTTCAGAGTTGACTTTTTGATTGAATTGAGTTCATAACATGACATGGAGACTCTTCTTGACTTCGCTTGCACATGGAATGTATTAAAATATAAATTCTTTCTTACATTTTTTATGATTTCACTCTCTGAAATTAATTGTTTTTTGAAATTAATTGTTTTATTTTCTTTTTTACCCTGCCACAAAATAAATTTTTTATTTTCTTATCTAACAAAGAATATGTCGTCCACAATTATTCTCTTTCTTTTAAATAAAATTCAGTCATCAATTTTTTTTATTTTAAAATTTTTTCTTAAACTCTATGAAGTCAAACTAAAACATTATTTCGAGACAAAGGGAGTTACAAATTTGATTTTTAGAGTTTTCCCCTTACAGATTTGTCTTTTAAAAGAGTAAATAATAGGTCCTTGTGTGCCTAGCCTTAGATAATGAAATGGAAGTCGTGTAGATTGTAGAGTAAATAATATTCTTAAATCTTGAAAAACCTATTCTCAAACAACTAATTTTATCAAATATTTTTAATGATCATCCAACACAACCATGTGGTTAAACCAGCTAAACTAAATAGCTATTTGGAACAGTTGACACAAATAGTCAACAGCTGACAACAAATAGCCAAACAAGGCCTATAACTTTATTAATTTTATATGAGCCATATATTATATTTGTTCAAAGTTTAAAAGATCTAATGATATATATATATATATATATATATATATATATATATATATATATATATATATATATATATATATATATATATATATATATATATATATATATATATATATATATATATATATATAGGGGGCGGTTCAGGTGAGAATGCACCTTGGTGAAAGAAATAAGAATAAAATATAGCCTTTGGATCTGATGCATCGTGCGGCTCAGATTGCATCCTGCACTCAGATTTTGAGATAGTGCATTTTTAAAGGATTTTAGTACATTTCGACATGATGCATTTTCAAATCATTTTGGTGCACCTAATTTTGATGCAATCCTGACCCTTAGATCTCACAATCTAGAGCACCAGATTCATTCTTAATTCTTTCATAAGATTGCATTATCAGCTGATCCTATATATATATATATATATATATATATATATATATATATATATATATATATACACACACACACATACATACACACGGTAAGTCTAAAATGACACCAGTGCTACTGGTGTCATTTGCTTACACCACGCACAAGGAGTCTCCTCACCCTTTATGGGATTTTTGGATAGCTCCTACACTGCCGCTTGCGGGACTCAATCCCTGATCATCGATCCAAGATTTCACGTTCTCGACCAACTAAGCTACCCACGCAGGCAAATGCATAATAAAACATGTTTTGATTGAAGAATACACTCTTTCCTTCTTTTTTGCTCTTACCAAATGCCAATAGCAGCTACGTAAGAGTTCTATTCACCATCACTGCAAAAGAAGCAATCGTTATTTTGACGAGAATGAAAGGCGAGATTACGGAAGGCATATCATCAACGAAAATGACCACCCAGGCACATTCACCTAAGATCGATTATAGGTACAAAATAGGTGCATAATTCCTGTTCATAAAGAATTTCCATACCTAATTCCAAAACAAGATATTTGTTGCTTATTTTGAGGAAATATAAATTTGTAATGTGTTCATGTATGAAATAGGATTTTCGTTGCATAGTTTCATATGGTGGAATCTTGTTGACGACAAAGGATTATATGAGTTGTTTTGACCCAAAATTAGGGTACTTTTCACATTGGTAACATGTTACAATGTTCAAAATGCATCATATGCAGAGAAATGTCTAATGATACGTTCCATTTGCCTGATTTGATATGATCTGATTTTTTGAAGATGCGATTTGATTTGGTCTGACCTTATCTGGTTGCAGTTATAATCAAAGTTGTTTCTGATCTGATTTGATTATAATAAGAATAAGTAATAAGTAGAAAAATTAAGTTAAACGGATCACTACTTAAGGGTAGTGGAAGAATTTTGTGTTATCTTAGTGCATAACCTATGTACTAAAGTCACAACTTTTGGGGGCATAATTGCATTAATGGTCTCGACATGGCCCATGGGTGGAAGGTATACATAAATAAAATTTATTTTTATGTAAGTGTACGTTCATATGATTATACTCCCTCCATCTCAAAAAATCTTTCTTGTTTACTATTACGGTCTTTCGATAACTCTTATTTGTTTATGTGTTTTCATAGATCATTTGATAAAATAAAATATTCTTATCACCTCTTATTTTGTTGAATTTTCTATGTAGTTTTTCCATAAAAAATTTTTATGAGTAATTTCCTTACCAATTTGCAAATAAAATCATTTTAAGATTCATGGGATTTTCCACGTTTATCAAAGTATGAAATACTTTTTGGAACGAAGGTGTTGGGATTTTATGCGCGTAAGACTCTTAAAATATCAAGAACGTGAAAAATAAATAAACTCACTACACAAGAAAAATATGAGAAAAATTATATCTTCACTATTTCAGAACGATACACAAAAAACTCTCCCCTGTTTACAAGCGCTAAATACCAGACACTTATAAACAGACTTTTCACACCCTACACATGGATGTATTTTTTGAGTAACTAAAACCAGTTACTCCCTACACTCACTCACACAATCCTGGTGATATCTTGTGTAGCACCTTTCTCTAAACCCTCCTTCTCTCTCTTAGTGTGTGTGTGTGTGATTCAAGTGGGAATGCACCTTGGTGAAAGAAATAAGAATAAAATCTGGCATTTGGATCTGATGCATCGTGCGGCTCAGATTGCATTCTGCACTCAAATTTTGAGATAGTGCATTTTCAAAGGATTATGGTGCATTTCGACATGATGCATTTTCAAACCATCTTGGTGCACCTAATTTTGATGCAATCCTAACCCTTAGATCTCCCAATCTAATGCACCAGATTCATTCTTATTTCTTTCATTAGATTGCATTCTCACCTGAACCAATATATATATATATATATATATATATATATATATATATATATATATATATATATATTTGCCCACCCACATATTGCCTTACTTTTATAACAAAAAAAAAGCTCTGTATGCTTGCATGGCTTGAGAAGGAGTCAAGAAACCAAAAAATCCTCTTTGATTTGATGACATGCACCAAGTGAATCAAATATCCTAACAGGAAGGAGTATAATGGTGTGGCATCTAAATGAAATTGATCATTAGTACGGAGTTCTTTTTATTGTCCATGATTTTGATGCCATCAGGGTGTTGTAGATGTACAATTACATTAAAGAAAGATGTTACTATTTGAGGAAAAAATAACTCACACTTATCTTATCTGTTGGAGTGGCCATCGAAGAAGTATTTTGATGAAAAAAATGCAAAGCAACGAGACGCTAAACATATTGACCTGGATACAAGAGAAGAAGAGGATGATGATGCACCAGTAAAACAATATAGTCATAACGCCTTTACTTTTTTACTCCTTTCGTCCGATATAAATTTTAACAAGTTGATTTTTATGATCTTTAAGAAGAGCTGAGAGAAAGAAGATGTTCCTTAATGAAAGTGGGTGGAATATAATAAAAGAGATAGATGCAGTGTAATAAATAAAGTAAGTGAACGTAACTGTGTTATTTTCAATGTTTAAAGAGACAATGAGATCTTTCATTGACAAACAAAATGAAGATTTGGGAAGATTTTATGATAGGGAGATGAAATAGATCTTTTTATATATACTTTTTAGTAATGTAAATTTTTTATCTACATATACACCATTATTCATATATAACACGGAATAATATTCAAAATAATTTCATTCAAAAAACATAGCGCGGGATAAATATAATTTGAAGAGAGGGATATATTGTTCTTTTGAGCCGTTAGTAAACACTTTTGAGCAGCCCACCAATATCTAACGGCTCCACGGACAACGACCTAACCCAAGTTTATAGCCGTTAAACCCTCCTTCAACACTGGATCTTCAAGCCACCGTCTCCCGTATTTCCAGAGAAGCCGCCGGAAGAAGAAATTCAGCTCGAAATGGATTCTTGTTGTCTGAAGAGAAAAAAGCCTCCCCAGATTGAGATCCCTATTGTCCTCCGCGTAATCAGTGCCGGTGCTGTCCCGAGTTTCAGACCACCAGCCACAGCCACCCGAAACGCCGCCGTGCGGTCCAGCGCCAAGGGAGTCGGCGTTTTCTCCCTCAAAGGCCGCAAGAAGTTCATGGAGGATTCCCACAGAATCGTGTCCTCACATCCCAAAAAGGTCAGTTTTCGTGAATCTGTTTCGATTTCAGGGCCATCTTTCGAATTCCATTAGGTTTTGAGTTTTGATTTCAAAAAATTAGGGTTTGTGATGATATCGGGTCGGGTTTTTGGAAATTTAGGGGTTTTTCGGGGTGTATGACGGGCACGGAGGTAGCCAAGCTGCTGAATTTGTAACAGAGAATTTGCATTTAAATATTATGGAATGTTTGAAGACTTGTTCTGGTAGTGGTGAAGACAGGGATGAAGCCATTAAAGTTGGTTACCTGAAAACTGACAGAGACTTCTTGGAAAAGGTACACAATCCTGCAATTCTCCTTGCTTTCTTTCCCACAGTACAAAATGCTCTTAGTACCCGTTTGGCAATAGTTTCGGCATTTCGCTTCAACATTGTGTAGCTTTAGTGTTTTCGAAGTTAATCTTCATGATTAAAGAATAATATAAAATACTAATGCTAATTGAAAATATTATTCCCAAACGAAGCCTTATTCTAAAATGATGGTTTGTAGGGCATGTGCAGTGGTGTGTGCTGTGTAACTGCTTTGATTGAAGGAGATGAGGTTATACTATCCAATTTAGGGGACTGTAGGGCAGTTCTAAGTAGGGGTGGATCCGCTGAAGCCCTAACGAAAGACCATAGAGCTGGAGAAGATGATGAGAGGAAACGGATAGAGGATAAAGTAGTCATTCTCTTGCACTAATATGACTCTTCTTCTGAACTAATCATAATGGGTTAAGTACACCATAATGCTGACTATACAGAGCTCTTCTGGCACAGGGAGGCTATGTGGAGATTCACAGAGGAGCATGGCGAGTTCACGGTGTACTCTCCGTTTCTAGAAGCATCGGAGATGCTCATTTGAAGGAATGGGTAATAGCCGAGCCCGATACAAGGAGAATGTGCCTTACTTCAGATATGCAATATCTTATTTTAGCTTCAGATGGACTTTGGGACAAGGTTAGTAGAGAAAAGCTCAATCTAATACGGAGTATTTTAGACGATCAATTTTGTGGCTTTTAGAAATTGAACTACACCTTTTGAAATGGCGCGATTCAGTGCTTTTTAAAAGTTTCATACGAAGTCATCAACATGATCCAAAAGTTTGTGTTACAAGCTCTGAACGCTCCGAAAATTCTCCAAAATGTAGTCGGTGTGATCTAAACAATTGATAGAACATTGTAAATATATTACTTGTAGCAGAAATCACCCTCAACTTTGAAGTGTTCTATTTAAGGTTGAGAACCAGGAAGCCGTAGATGTTGTGATGCAATCATGCCAGCAAGGAACACCTTCGCAGCCCAAAGGAACCGCGGGTTCAACAGAAAATGTGTTTGTATTCAATTGCAAAAGCACAAGCCCCTCATCAAAGACGAAAAGAGTCTCACTTGTGAAATCAAACAAAGGAAATGAATGCGAGTTTGGCAATGAAAATGCAAGCCCTGCAGCACAAAGGTCCCCAAGGGCCGCGTTGGCCAGGTCAAGCGTGGCAGACATCTGGAAAGAAGCAGAAGATGATTTTGGCCAAGAAAACGAGAGTCCAATGAAGGCTCGACGAAGATCACTTTCACATTCAAGTATAAGGGCAGGATGTTGGTCTCCATGCTCTAATAAGAGAAGTGTTGATGGCTGGAAAGAGAATGAAGAAAAGAGTTCTTCTTGTAGCCTTGTGGCTGCCTGTAAGAGACTTGCAAACCTGGCAGTGAGTAGGGGTAGTGTGGATGATGTAACTGTGATGATAATTGATCTTGATCATTTCAAAGATCATCAAGGGCATGTTTACTCTGAAGATGGACATTTTCATTTTTAGAGGAAAAAATTACGAAGGGCATGTTTGCAATTATTTTTTTTGTAGATTTTAGGTGCACTATAAAAACGCTCAAAATTAATATTCCCTCCATCCTAAAATGATCTTCTCAGTCATTATTCAAATGATCAACTTTTAAGCACTTTCTTTATCTATTTTTGTTAGTTATTCGATAAAATAGTATAGTCATGTCACCTTTTATTTTGTAGTTCTTTTGATATAGTTTTAAGATATAAAATCTTTATTTTTTAATTTTACACTTATAATCAAATCAATTGAATTTAAAGTTTGTTCTAAAATTTTAGTAAACCGAATTAGAAATATCATTTCAGGACAGAGAGTATTTTTTTTGTCCCACAAAAATCATTTTACACTGAAAGTATTTAGTGTTTAAATAAAAGTTTGTTCTAAAATTTTAGTACGACTCGGCTAAAAAAAGTTTGCTATAACATTCTCCCGAATTGAGCACTAAAGTAACTACTAATTTTGTCAATTTTTGTGAGCCAAACATGCATATACACAGACTAATAATGTTATAATTTGACAGAAGAAACAAATCACATTATAAAAATGGTATGGCGGCAAACAAAAAGTGGAAATATATACAAAATTGTGAAATATATACAAATTTGTATACAATATGTGCATTATGAAATTGGAGATGCAACACATTTGTTTAAGATAACAGCGATTTCGTGGTCCAATAGATAAAGTTCGATCTCCAGAAAAGTCATATAATTCTTTTTTTTTTTGAAACATTCTTTTATTAGTATGCTTTAAATTTTTAAAAATGTTCATACAAAAAAAAAGTTATTTAAATGTATTTAAGTTTGAAAAATATAATGCAATAGCGATCGTCAGAACAAAAGTGACTCCGTGGCCCAATGGATAAGGCGCTGGTCTACGAAACCAGAGATTCTGGGTTCGATCCCCAGCGGAGTCGCGCTGTTTAATTATTTTAACTTCTCCGGGTATAGAGGCATTGTTTTCATTTTCCTTTTTCAAATTGTATATAAATTTCTTTCTCGCTTACTATTTTGGCAAAAAAAAGCTTTAAATAAATTCACAATTATAGCATATGTTTTCATTTGTACAATTCAATTTATACTATCACATCAAAAACAAATAAAGAAAATTTTTACATTTTTAATTTTTCTTAATTTATGTGTCAAGTCAAAACGAAAAATAAATTGTTAGACGAAGGGAGTATCTTGTACTGACTCTGATCCTTAAAACCATTCTTGATTGAAAAAGGATGCTCCTTAAAAATGTGAGATTTTGGGTTATATGTTTTTAATGCACACTTTTTTCAAAGAAGAAATGTTTTTTTGGAATTGAGAGAGTAATTATTTTGATCTATTAATTACTATGTATATTTTAGGCCTTTCTATTTTGACTATACAAATAGAAAAAATAAAATTAAAAAACTAAAAATAGGTACACAATATGAACTATTATGTATCTGCTATCATCTTGATAGTTTTTAAATTCCATTACGGTAATACGGTTAGGACTATTCATCAGTCCGGTACATCAAAGACCGAATTGAACAAAATAATGGTCAAAGATTGGATTTAAACTCATTCAGTCTTAGATTAAACCAGACTGAAATACTTAGAGCTGAATTTGTCTCGACTGATTCGATCGAATGAAGTTATATTTTGTAATTATTTTAATTTATTGATTATATTTTAGGCCTTTTAGTTTTTATCGTGCAAATAAGAAAAAATTAAAATTGACAAAAACTACAAATAGGTACACAACATTGACTACGTCTATATATAATCACAAAAGCTAATGTGAATTAATTTTTTATATTGTTAGAAAAAGTTTCTTAATACTTGTTAATTAAATAAATTAATATTTTTGGGATCAAAGACCGATATCCCATGCCAGGATCCATTTGTTATGGGATCAATCTTGACCTAACGGTTCGCTCCGATTGATTTTTTGGATTTGGACCTAAACTTGAACAACGCTAAACACGATTGACAATCATTTGCTCACAATCTCATTTTTGTATCTTTATAAATTTACATCTTCTGTCTTTAAAAAAATTGTGAAATTTTGATTTCTTTAGTCAAAAGACTGCGAAATATTCACACATTATCATCCTAGCAAATTTGGGTGTAACAAAGGGAAAAAAAAGATTAACCCATCCTAAATTCCTTCAAAGCCTCTACTCTAATCTCAAATAAGCAAAGATTGAAACTTAATTATCTGAGTAAACTCTGCAGCAATTTCTCCCTCCCCAACGCAATCCATGGTCTTCTTCTGCATCCCGATCAGCACATTGTGCCAGGTGTTCACCCTGGACCGAACCTTGCTCGGAAACCCGGCCACATTAACCGCCGCCAAATCCTCCGCCGCCACGCCGAGCACCTCCGGCGGGGCTGCCCCGTCCAGCAGCCATATCAGGCAGGAGGAGAACCCTTTGGTGATCTCCGAGTCGCTGTCCACTTTAAACCTCATCCGCCCCTCCCCGTCCATCCTCGCCTCCAGCCACACCTGGGTCGTGCAGCCCATCACCCGATTTCCCCTGACCCGACCCGATTCATCGGACGGCGGGAGGAGCGTCGCGTAGTGCAGCAATCTCTTCACTCGGTCGATCGGGGAGGGGAGGGCCTTGAATTCGGACGCCAAGATCCGAACTTTATCCCCGACGGAGGGGATTCCGTTCCCGGCGGACCTGGATACGGGCAGACGGTTCGAACCCGGATTTCTCGGGTTGATTTTACCGGGTTTTCTTGAAATTTCCAGGTGAGATGAAAGAAAGGCCGGGGGATTTCCGCGGGACCATAGGCGTTGGGGGTAAATTTGGCCGGGCTTGGACGCGAAATTCAGGGAAGGGGAGGGAGGTGGACGGGGGGAAGGATTAAGGGCGGGGCTGTTCATGTTCGGCGACGGTGGCGTGGCGGGGCAGGGGGATGAAGACGGCCGTGTGGCAGAGGAGCGCAGCGGAAGAGGTTTCAATGGAGGAAAGAAAGAGGGGCGGAGGGCGGAGAATATTATGGGTTAGTTATTTTGGAAATGAGAGAAAATGGGGCGGCGCTAAAATTCGAAGGCTTGTTTGAATTCTGAAAAAGATGAATTTGGATGATACGACGACAAAACTAGTGACTGTACATTTCTTAATATTGTCTCGGGTAAATTAATTTAAATTTAGAATTATTACCTTAATTTTAAATCCTTTCACAAAAAGTAACTGAACTTACATAATTCTTTCAATTAAAGTCTATTTACCCGTTTCTAGGTTAACTTCCGATCATTTCAGCTAAATTAGAATTTTATATATTTTAAATTTTTCAATTTGACCTCATTTCTTTTATTCTTTTTCTTCTTCTTCCCCCCTCCCACTCCCTTCTTTTTCTTTCTTTCACAAAAAAAGACTAGCATAATTACAATATCATAAAATTCTTATTTTGAAGATAAAACATGGAATAAACATTGAAATAAATATGAAATTCTTATTTTGAAGATAAATATTACTCCCTATGTTTTACTCAAAGTAATTTCTTAAAAGAATAAGCTCCAATTCAATCTTTTGATATAGTTTTTTTAATATGTAATTTTTATTTTTAAATTTTATATCATTTTTCATATACAATGATTTGAAAATAACTTCAGTCAAACATCATAACGCGCAACGGAAAGTTTATTTGTGGACGGAGGGAGTATAATTTCTTCCCTATTTTCAAAACATTGACCTAATGTCTAAAAATACTTCTTCCAGTCTTAAAAACTCTTCCTGTTTTAACTTTTTTGATCAAACAATAACAATCTTTGACCATTAATTGTTAGAAAAGTATATTTAATTAAAATATAAATTTAATATAATTAGATTCATCTTAAGATATTGTTTTGATATATCAAATTTTTATACTTTCTCCGTCCATAAATTATTTACTCTTTAATCAAAATGAAGTAAAATCTCAAGTTTTTCAATCCATTTTATTCAAAAATTGGTATATAAATAAAAAATAAAACCTACATATTTATAAATTACTCCGGGTACATCAAAAGTTCTACAAAACAAGAGATGACAAGAATATTTTACTTATCAAATAGTCAATGAAAACACAGAAATAAACAAAAATTCTTGTGATTTTTAAATAATAAATTTTGTAAATTATTTAGGGACGGAATGAGGATCATTTATTTATTTAGATTATATTTAATTAGTCAAAGAGTATCACTGTTTGAACAAAAAAGTCAAATTGAAAAGGCCCAAAAAAGAATGAAATGCTAAATCATACCCAGCCTCCACACATTGCACCAACTGAAATCCATCTTAAACATCACCTTTATCATTAAACTCTTCTTTTCTTAAGGTATTATAACTCCAAAGTTTTATTTTCTTCCCATTTTTCTTTCCTACTCCAATGTTTTATTTCCCTGCCATTTTCTGGTTCCAACTTCAAAACATATCCTGAGATAACCCAATATTTTACGCGATTTTCGCATGTATTCGATTTTTATTTTTTCCATACAAAACATTTCCCATAGAATTCTTCCCCCTGATTTTATTTTCTAGTGGAAACTCAAAACTTGTAGGCAGAAACATCTCATGGCAGGATTGATCTTTCATTCATTCTTATTCTTGATCACCATCATTTGCAGTTGAGTATGAACAAAGCAGACCCATGTGCTCTTATAGCCATGGACAATACCTTTCCGGGCCCGATGTTTTTTCCGGTCCATAATTCTCTTCCTGAGCATGTAAGTGTGTGGCTCAAGTTTCTTTCGGGGAGCGCCTTGGCTATATCCGATGTTGTCGTTGAGATTTCGGACAACGCTTCTTTCAGATTGAAAAACGCGACGTAGATTTCTCCTGTACAACAATTTCCTTCGGAGTGTTAGAATTGATCGGAGGTCGAGGATTCGAAATAAACCTAGCGTAGGGCATGTTGCCCTAGATTGTTGTGGCTAGGGGTCTTTTGGATTTTACTCCTTTATTGGTGCCTCCCCTTTTCTTTGGGTTCTTTTGAGTTTTGAGCTAAGGGTCTTTTGGAAATAGCTTCCCTACACTCTAAAAGGGGTAAGGCTCTGCCTAGACATACACTCTTTACTGGGTTGTTGTTGTTGTTGTCATAACAATATCATATTACACACCTGTATTACATTACCGTTATTGCTTGAAGGGGGAGCTTTGGTGCACTGGTTGAGGTGTTGATGTGTGACCTTAAGGTCACGGGGTCGAGTCGTAGATCCTCTTACATGTAAATATGCCTATGTCACACCCTTATAGTGGGACCCTTCCCTAGACACTCGCTCGGCGGGATGCTTTGTGCACCTACCTACCGCGCTGCCCTGTATTGTCGTTATTGCTTAAGTTTTAAAGGAACGAACCTTGCCTTCCGCTCGCAATCCAAGAACGACTTCCTACGGGAGTAGCTGTATGAAACGACACATTGGCAAATAAGAGATAGTGTAAAAGTTGGAGTAAGTATGGTGCGGCGAATAGTGGGACCTGAAAATGCTACCTCTAACCGAATCAAATGAAGCGCAGAGACCGGAATAATTGCTTACAAGGGTTCCGTTTCTCTTCAACTCCCACATCTGTTTGCGGTCAGACAGTTCACATGAGTCACTATAACAATTAGCTAAACTATGCAATTTTTTGCATAAAATTTAGAGCCCGGCCTGTTCGGCAACAGATTCAACATATATTTAGGTTTACACTATGTTTGGTGCTTGGAATTCGAAAGGAAAAGAAAGTGGTATCTCTCTTTTTCCTCACCAAAATGGAAAAAAAGTTGTTTTCCCTCTTCCTAGTTTATTTTCTCTTCTCACTTTCTTTTCCTTCTACTTTTCTCTTCTTTTCCACTCTAGGCAAACAATACAAATTATTTTTTCATACCATTTTTCTTCCCTTTCAAATTCCTTGAACCAAACATAGTGTTAGCATTTTGAAAAAGGCTATCTAATGGCAATGTTTAGCTTTACCGTTTTTAAAGTTAATCAACACCATAAAAAAAACCAAAACGCTAATTGAAAATGTTCTTCCCAAACAAGGCCTTAACCATTAGCTAAAGTTTAAGACATTTAATGTACACTAAATTTGAAATTTCATGGAACCAACTGACCCCATCATCAAAATTATAATGTTGTTGTTGAGGAAGATGTATATATTTATCATTTACCTGAAAATTATAATCATGAAATCCGCAAATCAGCTATATATGTACCTGGTAGGCTTCCCATCTGCATTCTGAGAATGAACCTTTGCCAACTTCTGCAGAACTAAGCTTCCGATTATGAGCTGCCGTAAGGCAAGACTCGGTAGTCTTCATTTCCAACAAATGCAGTTTCCCATCAAACTGTTTCTCGTCCCACATTTTCTGGTGTCTGCTGAAACAAAATGGCGCTTCCTGTTGTTGTTTTGTTGTGTTCCCTTTCCAACAGATTTGGTCCTCGAGAAGTTTTCTAGACCAACCTTGTGATTTTCCGTCTTTGCAGTTTCCGAGTGCCAAAACATGGGCCAGCGAGGTGCCAGTACGCTGTTTACTTTCGCGTCGAGAAGAATGTGAGTCGGTTATGTATGGATACTGCATTGAACTTTCAGAGTTATTGGCTTACTCTAAATTTTCTCAATTATAACTGGAAGATTTTTTTTCACTTGCTTCTTTATTGTATGTGCTAAACGAGTTTATCTCTAGTAGAGTAGGATCGGTAATGAGAGCAAGCGTGTGGGTGCTAATTCTTCTCATGTCGCCCCCGTACATGATGGGAGATTTCGCCATGGACCACAATGTCATCTGCAAAGAAAACATTCTGCATTATCTTAACAGACTATTATGACCTTTATGCGATGCACTAAAAGTTGAATGAATATGGACACACGTCATGTCTACATTCATTCATTTTTTAATGTATCAACAAAAGTCGTAATGGTTGGCGAGTTTAAAAAGAACGGAGGGAGGGAGTATATTATTGTATCCCAATACAACAAGCATCAATAACAACCTGCGTTTTCTGTTCGGTCTGAGTTAGATTGCTGTGTCGGTGTGGACCTTCGTTTGATCCTACGATATATTCTCACACTCTTATTAGATTTCTCAAAAACATGTTTTGACAGGAAATTGCAATATTACGGAAGAAAGAAATAATGGATAAGTATTAATTCTTGAAACAATGAAACTCAGTGACTAAAACGGTCAAATATCCTCACCCGGATCTGTCAGCCAACCAAAAGGTAACATATCTAAGTCAGGCCATGACTTCCCTTGCAGGCCCTTAGTACCTATCAAATTAGCTGCAGCCATGTCCCTGAGGCATATACTACAGAGTAAGTAAGACGTGAAAAAGAAGCAAATAACAAAGAGATTTATAAAATTACAAAAATAAAACCGGCCATAGCCAATGTTTAAGAAATAGTCTTTGTTAAGGGTATACAACATTTCCTTCGTGCCATAAACTTTTCAAAGACGAAAAAAAGACGGGGCCTAAAAATGTGTAATTCTGATATTATTTTCTAATTTTGCCCTTACTTTATAATGAGATGTGATATGATATGTAGGATAGATGAGTTAGAATTAGAAAAAATATCAAGATTTCCCATTTTTAGGGGGCGCATTTTTTCATCTTTGAAAAGTATTATGGGACGGAGAAAGTATAATCTTTACTAATTAAGGGACAATATGAAATTAAGGCTCCGAACCTTGCAATGTCGAAGTGCGAAGCAACATCAGGCCAGGTATCCCAGTCGTCGCCGGTTATTCTATACATGTTTACAAGGCTACTAACCTCCTTTGCCATTGCTGATGTCACATGAACTCCGGGAGACAGAGAGTACGTTATGGAACGATTAAGCTCCTTCAATACCTGCCATATCCCAACTCCATACTTATATCTTTCATTTTAATGCTTCTTTAACTACATACATGCATGGAAACTTGAAAGCTCAAACCATAATGTAATTACTTAATTGTTTCCTTTTCGTTTAAGTGCTCAAGAAAACATCCTTTTACTGATTAAAGGGTACCAACCTCTGAAACTACAGTTATCTCATCTAAGTCCAAATCAGAGCCAAAAACACAATCATGTTTCACTGCAAAAAGCACGCAAAAAAACTGTTGCTGCTAAGGATTAATAACTTGATGAATATACAAATATGCCATTTTAACAACCAACATATTCCTTTTACCAAAATCAACACCCCAATCGGCATACTGTTGATAGAGTGACCTGAGAAATGCTCTTCCAGCTCCAGATTTGGTATTTACACTCATGAACCCTTTATCCATCCACGCGCACGCCCTCTCCTTGATGCCTATATCACTTGCTTTCCACTCCCTTCCGGCCTCTTCATATGCTTTCCCCTTTTGAATCAAATCCCATAAAAAAGGTGTTTGGGCTTTCAGTTTCAGAAAGAATTTATGAAATGACACAGTGTTTGTAGCATATTTAGTGGTCATTCGCTAGCTAGCTTTTTTGGCTTAAAAGCTACATTTTTTTTACCAAACATTAATTTGTTTGAAGGCACATGTTGGATCCATAAATAATGAAAAAAAGGGTTATGGCAGCTTTCAAGTTTCATTGTTGAAGTTGCAAAAGATTATCATGCTAGCAATTTAACCTTCATGTATTTTCTCCTTTATGAAAGCAATAAATAAGTTCCGACAGATTCACCATGACAAAAAATGGGATCTAAACATTATAGTGGTAATGAGCAAGGAACAATACCGTTTGGACATTCAAGATTGGGGTACTACTATTGACTGCCTGGGTACTCACGCCTCTCATGACATGAATCCCAAACTTCAAACCCAAGCTATGAACCTTAGAAGCAATGTCTGTAAATCCTTTCCCACCTGCAGAGGAAGGCCATCTACTAGGGTCTGGCTGCATCCTTCCCCACTCATCGATTACATCAAATCCAAGAGAGTTCGTGTACGCTCCCTCTACTTTCTTCCGATACCATAGATAATCTACCACAACATACTGCAAAATGTACAATGATAAGTTAATATCGAAACCAAAGACTCTTGATTGATCGATTCTCTCCAAAGCACAAAACTCTGTTTGGAATAATCATTATAGTTTTGGTGCACCATTTTAATATCTGATGGGCATAAATGAATGTTATTGATACCTCATAGCCATTGGGCTTCAACCGCTGAGCGACAAGTTCTGCATTGCGAATGAATTGTTTCTCCGTGATGACCCAAGAGAATGAATCATACGAGTTCCAACCTCTTGGTGGTAAGTTAGCATGGGGCTGAACTTCTGAGTTTATCCTGAAATGATTGTAAAAAAAACATCCTCAGCAACCTAATGAAGTATAGTTCATAATTGGCTGGATCACTGCATCCTACTATAATGCATTTGGGTCAAACAACTCTTAAAATAAAAAGGATTGAATCCAAGTAAAAAAAAAAGGTCTCTCAACAATTAGAAAGTTCATGCTTAAACAACCTATTATTGGCAAGATAAGTCAATGCCCAAACAGCCCAGATCAGACACCCTAATATTAAAAAGTAACATAAAACATTCTACCAACTGTGGGGTAGTCACTGTTTTTTATACCGGATTTAAGAAAGAATACAATGCAAGAGCATATACCTTAAGATCAAAACATAAATAAACAACCAAACTTTTCATACCTACACAAAGAAGATATAAAAATGCAAACTTCTTTACCGAATTATAGAAAAAATGAAAAAAGATTAGTACATACTACGGGAAAAACAATAAAGAAGAAAACCCAAAGGAAAAAAATCACAATACATGGGAAAAAACACAGTCTTGATATAAATGATCACCCATGATCAAAATAGAACAGTGTGTGTCAAGACTTGTGTAGAAATCAAACACAGTGTGGTAATGAGATGAAAGAATTCTATAGTACCCATTAAGCTGAGGAGGGATGAAGAGGAGGAGGAAGAAGAAGAATGGGGAAACAAAAACATGATCTTTCATTGTCTGAACTCTGAATGAATGAAGAGAATTTTTGGGGGGATTGTGTTTATCTTGTAGTTTGTCAATTACCTTGAAGTAGAAAGGAATAAACATTGTCTGGGGCGGTGTGATAATGAGCTGTAAGATGTTGAACAGTATGATCACCTTATTATTTCACCTTTCCGTAACTCCGTAAGTCTTACTGCAGAATAATTCTTTTCCACTAAATTCCATAATCGTTTTATATATTTAGTTCATACATATCAAATATTACTAATTTAGTCCTCAATTATTATATTATTTTTCACGAATGATCCTTTGTTAATGTTTTTGTTAAGAACATGGATAAAATTGTATCTTCATACTTCTCTCTCATCAATTAAGCTCCCTCCTCTCGTACTCTTTCTCAAACTTGTCGCTGAGTTTGAAGTTTTAAACACAAAATTGAGAGAAGAGTGATGATTTTGGTTTTGGGTTCAAAGCTTCAAACTCAGCAACGGATTTGGGAAAGTAGTACGAGCGAAGGAAGGAAGCTTAATTGAGGAGAGAAAAGAGTGTAAATTTACAATTTTATCCACGTTCTTAACGAAAATGTTAACAATGACCATTCGTGGAAATGAATATAATAATTACGGACTAAATTAATAATATTTAATATGTACGGACTAAATATGTAAAACGACCTATAACTGGGAATCTTTTATGGAATTTACTCCTTTTCAAACATGCTACTTCGTCCCACGTCATGACTTGATCGATCAAAATTTTAGCGAGAGAGAATTATATGAGAAGGCCAGAAGGGTCTTTGAAATGAGTGCAATCTAGGATGGATATTCTCATTTGATGATTTATTAGATTAGTTTGATGTCGGTAGACATTATGCAATTAGCAAAGGTAAAGTATGACAAAGCAATAAAATTCAAATTTAATATTTGGTAATTGTAATGGTACAATTATGATAAGCATAGGCATCTGCAATTACCAAATGCAGGCTCTACTATTTGACACAAATCTACGATGAAAGTCTAATTTACTCCTTGAGAATAGGGCTTGTCCTTTTTGTTAAATTACTTTGATCGATCTAGAAATGTTATTTTGACTTATCAAGTAAAAATGGCATGGTTCATGTGACATTAGTCACAATGTCATGCTATGACTCGATATTCCTACGATGTTCTGTTTGCAC